TATATATATATATATATATATATATATATATATATATATATATCATTTTTTTAGTTTTTACTTTTTTTATTGTTTGCTTTCAATAAATTATTTTAATTATATTTTATTACATTAAGTATATTTTTGCAATTTTGTCCTCCAAACTAAGGCATCATCACAATTAAAATGATCATGCTTTTGCAAGCTGCTGTTTAAACACCACAATATTTACTGAAAGTTTAAACTGTGCAAGTTGTCACGTTAGATATATGAATTTGTTTTGATATTTTTAAGTTGCATTTTTAAAAAATTGTTTCGCTTTTAAATTGTCAATGCTTCAATGTTTCAATAAACTGTTTAATAGCAGGTTTCATTGTGACAACTTACCCTATATAACGTTATAGACAATGCTTACCCCATATAGACAAAAGTTCAGTGTGTTTTCAGTCAACTGTATCTTTCTTTCCTGAACAGTACTTTTCTGTATTTAGTAAAAATACTTTTTTGTATTTTTTATAGGCTTTACGATTTGTGCCTCTACAGAAATGTACTTTAATAAGTAAACATACACTGAGAAATATTCAGTGACCCCTGCAAGTGTGACCCCTAGATCAGGTTCCATATGCTTGAAATTTTGTTACAAATGTACTTTATAATTTAAATAATGTATCATTATTTCTTTCACATTACAGTAGGCTGTTGAGAATTAGTAAAGGGGATTCTTAACATCTGAATCATAAATCTTCTATGAAAAACCTTTCACAACTGAATAATAATGAACCACAACATGTTCTAAGTTTCTTAAAGAAAAATCTCTGTGAATATATAACTGCATTTCCCCTCAGTCATAAATTCCACAGGTCTAGTTTAAAGGCCTTTGCCAAGTTGTTGATTCTAGGGAATTATTGGGTCCAAACTATTATAATAATGCTGTTGATATTTTAATCCATCATAATATGACAACATTGTTATATCTGCTACTAAGGCAATTATGCATTGTATTTTGTGTTTTTGATTTTGCAGCATGAGGCTTGTAATCTGGGTCACCTGGGAGTGGTGGAGGAACTGCTCCAGGAGGGGGCGCTGTTGAACACTCCAGGCTATCAGAACGACTCTCCACTGCACGATGCTGTAAAGAATGGGCAAATAAAGGTGGTCAAGCTCTTGGTTGAACGAGGCGCGTCCCAAAATGTACTGTGAGTACTTGACCTCAAATTCTTTCACCTGATCAAAAACTCAGTCAATCACCTGAAGCTGAGGTTTGATTGAAGATCACTCTGATATTTCTTTAAACGACATTGTGTTAAAATAAACCCTGTCAGGCCGGATGATACAGTATAACTATAACTGTAACACTACCTGTCAAAAATTTAAGATATTTTTATGTTTAAAAAAAAAGTCTCTTACGTTCACCAAGGCTGTGAAATGTCACAGTAATATTGTGAAATGTTATTACAATGTAAAACAATTGTTTTTTTTAGCATCTTAGTATTTTTGTGGAAGCTGGATATATTTGAAATGGCAATCTTTTGTAAAATTCTGTCAAAATTTTTGAATGATATATATATATAGATTCAACCTTTTTAGATTCATGTATATATATATATATATATATATATAGGGCCTAAAATTAATACTCGCCAAGCGCCAAATGCGAGTAAAAATTTCGGCTTTGGCGAGTATATGAAACTGTCAGTCGCCAGATGGCCGGTAGGCTAAATGTTGTGCAGTGTTGTGAGAACATAAACGTGAACAAATGTGAACGACGCTCTGTACAGTTAACAGGTCAGTGCTGCTTCATCACAAAAGTTTAAGCCTTTTGCAATGTAAATATTCAAGAGCTAGAACACATGAAAGGACACACGTTACTCACGCAGAGTGGGAAGTTTAAACATCCGAAGCCCCGGCCTGAAAGCCGCATCTTGAGCTCTGCTTCCTTCCTGCGCTTGAACGGACAAATTCACACAAAATTATGTAAAAAAATGCCTGTCTCTGTGAGTATCCTAGTAAAGTAGTTGGTTCTTAAGTGAACATTAACAGCTGAGAAAGAAACCGAACATGAACCGCACGCGACGCAATGTGTCACAAGACAATAGAACCCATTATAATCAGTGATATTGTCTACACAGGATGCGGCGCGACACAACAAATCCCCGAAAGTAAACTGATTTCCTGTTCTATTTCTGAAATAGTCCAAGCAGCAGCCACTTTGTCCGTATCTGTTACAAAATATTATTACTTGCCTATAAGGCCCTTAATGGGTTAGCTCCTGCGTACCTAACTAGTCTTCTACCACGCTACAATCCATCACGCTCGCTAAGGTTGCAAAACTCTGGACTTTTGGTAGTACCTAGGATAGCAAAGTCCACTAAAGGAGGTAGAGCTTTTTCGCATTTGGCTCCCAAACTCTGGAATAGCCTTCCTGATAACGTTCGGGGTTCAGACACACTCTCTCTGTTTAAATCTAGATTAAAGACACATCTCTTTGGCCAAGCATTCAAATAATGCATCTCATAATCTTTTACTGCAGTTATATCTAATCAAATGCACATTATTATTCGTTAGTTTAGTTGCTTTGCAATGATTTGTATCGTGAAAAGTGCTGTACAAATAAACTTGACTTGACTTGACTGTCGCATCCAGTATTGACAACTTCAAGCTGCTGCTGTGTAGACATGGTGTTAAAGTGATAGGCACAGAATTCCAATAATCCTGCTTTTGTATGCGTTTTTAATGTTGATCAAAGAAAATAGGACAAAGAAAAAAAAAACAATCACTCACTGCTCTTGAAAGACTATAGTGTTATTTGATTAGTTTAATTTATTAAATTTCTGTAGGCTACCTGAAAATCACTGTTAGACCTGCCTGAAATGCACCATTTCTATTTGTATCTTTGTTGTATAGTAGGCTATTTTGTGCTATTGCTTGTAATTTGATTTGCTCTTATTTTACAACTGACTATTTACTAGTCTTTAAAAATGTAGCCTATTATATTTTTATTGGTTAAGCTAGTAGTTTTAACAGTATCGAAACTGGAATCAAGGATTGTGAGTTTTTGCTATTATCTCAAATTTTGGTGTCATAACTGTCTGTTTTTTTTTTTCCATGGCTGGTAAGAAATATTTCTGGCTGGTAAATTTTCTTAAAGGGGTCATATGATGCAATTTACATTTTTCCTTTCTCTTTGGAGTGTTACAAGCTCTTGATGAATAAAGAAGATCTGTAAAGTTGCAAATCCAAAGAGATATTCTTTATAAAATTTGAGAGTCAGCCACGCCTACCTAAAACGGCTCATTCTAACACGCCCCCACATATCTACATCACTATGTGGGAAGATTTGCATAACGCCGCCCAAATGTTCAAGCAAAGAAAGAAGGCGTAACTTTTATTCTCGCGGTAGTTTTGTTGGCCACCGCCATGTCGTAAAGACGCTGTGTGCCTCGTTGTGAAAGCGAAACTACTTTGTTTGCTCTTCAAAAATAGGACGATATCTGCTTCGTCATGCATGGAGCTGATCCGTGCTGGTTGCTGAGGAAATACTACAACTTTGCGCGGTGGATCGCTGGATCGGCTTTCACCGTGGACGAAGCGGAGTCCTTCCCGGAGTCGTCACATGTCCTTCCGGACGCTCCTTCGTCGAAATCGCCAGCCACGCCATTCTCAAGCCCGCCGCCTCTGCTCACTCTAACCCTCCGGCCATTTCTCACTCTAGCCCCGAGCCTCTGCTCACTCTAGACCGCCGCCGCTCACGGTAGGCTGCCGTGTGTGACGCTGTTTCGTTGTGAAAGCGAAACTACTTTGATGGTCTTCCAAAAGAGGACACGACTAGAAATCAGTGGTTAAGTTGTATTTACAACACTGTTCCAGAACACTTCAACCCAAATATTCAGATGTGTGCAGCGCATTTTATGGAGGACTGTTTCCTGATCCTGGGAGAGTAGACTACAATGCCGGCTCTTCTGACTCAAAGACTGTAACTACGTTTTTTATATTTAAAGAGTTTTTATATTTTATATATTTAAAGCGAGTTTTTTGGGGAGTGTAGAGTAGGGCTTGTTGTTTGTCATTTCTCCGATCACAAATGCAGACATGGTTTTTTGTTTACGTGGCGCGATGCAACTCAACGCGTAAAAAGTATAAGTCATTATAATCCAGAATGCCTCGTTTATAATGGGTTTTCATATTTTTGAATCATCGCTCTGGCCTGACGGCATCATCACAATATGGTAAGGGGCGTAACATTTCCGTCTCACGCTTGAGGTATTCGGCCAATCACAACGCACTGGATAGCTGGCCAATCACAGCACACCTCGCTTTTTCAGACCGATGAGCTTTGTAAAATTCGACACGTTTCAGAAAGGCGGGGCATAGAGGAGAAACAATAATGTACAGTATGTGGAAAATAATGTGTTTTTTGAACCTTAAACCGCATAAACACATTTCATTACACCAAATAATGTTCTTTTTAGCAGCATCATATGACCCATTTAAGTCACCGGCCATTGGCAGGTCTGGCAAAAAGTTAGTTTTAGGCACTGTATATATATATATATATATATACTGTATATCCATTTGATAAGGAAGGACTGTTCTAAATGTTTTTGAAAATAGTGTCTTATGCCTTTATTCCTTTATTATTATTATTGTTGTTGTTATCAATGTTCAAACCAGTTTTTGCTGTTTAATGTTTTTTGTTGAACCGTGATGCTTTTTTTTCACAATTTATAAAATTATCATGGTATTTATTTTTACACTTTTGATCGATTTAATGAATTCTTGCTAAATGCAAGTATCCATTTCTTTTTTTCCCATTATATATATATATATATATATATATATATATATATATATATATATATATATATATATGAAATATCTAGGATATCTTTTGAGT